TTATTTGACCAATCGGAACGTGATAAGATTTTATTTCGACCAATGATAAACGTTTTTAATTACGATTTGTCGTTGTTTACGTAATGCAGACTACAAAATATTTATTTGATTTAAATTTTAAATAAATTATTTATTATTGATCATTCATCGATTGTTCTAGAACGTTTAATTTATAAAATAGTGCAGATTTTATTTTAAAAATAATTACAAGTTTGAATTTGACTTATTACTATTTTTCAAAACGTTTTCTCGATTTCATTTTTTTACGTTTTTATTTCTTTCAGTTGATAATTTAATTTAAGGTTTAAGGTTTTTTTTTTTTTTTTAAATTGATAGCAGAAGAATTTATTTTATAGTTTAAAGTAAATAAAAAAGGGGGGTCAAGGTCAATAATGTAAATAAGTATATATCTCTGTTTCAGTCAAGTGTATTAAGGTAGTTTCGAGTTTGTTCGTTCGTTTTTATTTTTATTTATTTGTTTGTTTGTTTGTTAGTTTTTCGATTTTTGCCAACTTTTGAAAATTAGATTTTTCTATAAATTTAAACGGCACGAATAAATTTAAACGTTTTTGACATTTTCGGTTGTTTTTTGTGGAATTTTATTTTTTTTCTTTTCATAAAATTTTTTTTCTTACGTAGCCATTTTTTAACCTTACTTTTCCTTCACTTTCGTTTTTTATTTATAAACAAATCCTTTTTGATAAAGTAAAATAAAAAGTCGATGTGTTACATGAAAAATAATACGGACGGACGTCGGGGGAGGGGGGGAGCGCAATATTAAAAAAAAAAAGAAAAGTTTTTGCAACAATAGTTTTTGTGTTTATCTTCAAACGCTGAAAGTTTTAAACGTTTTCCTGTAAATATTTTAATAATAATTTTTCATTAACGTTAAATTTTTTTTTTGTTTCGATCGTTGGAAACGTTGAGATCCCCAAAAAAAAATATTTACATCGATTTCGAACAATTTCTCTTAACTAAACACAATCGATATATATCATTTATCTTATTTTTCTGACGTAATCACCGTTGTTTTTTTTTTTTTATTTCCCGCATCATCAAATTATTATTATTATTATCATTATTTATATATTTAATTAAATTTTCGAAAAGAAAACAACAATAATAATAATAATAAATTTATATATAATTAAAATCTATTATTAAAAAAAAAAAAAAAAACCTTTTTTTCTATATAAAATTGTTAACGAAATTGAAAGTGATTAAAAAAAAAAAAAAGAATAGAAAATTTTTAAAAAGGTTTTTTTTTTTTTTTTTTTTTGTTCAAAAAACAAAAAAAATTCATTTGATGGAAGGATATTAATCATTTCCTGATCCCTATTGAGAAAAGAAAAGAATTTCTAGAAAGGTCATCAACACTCCCACGCGATGAGCAATGATTTTCCTTCCTTTTCCTTCCTTTTTTTTCCCTTTTTCTTTATTATTATTATCATCATCAGACGACTTAATTCACGCGGGAAAATTTTTATTTTTTTTCAAATGGTGACTGATGTTTAGAGAGAAAAAAATAATAATAAATTTTGCGGATTTTTTGCGGTTGACACACGCACACAAAAAAAATGGGGAGAGGATTAGTAGTATCCCTTTTTAATCCAAAAGAAACCCCTAAAATAATATTTTGGTTATTTAATATTCCATCAATTTTTTTTTTTTCCTTCATATTTTTTTCGTAGAAAATTTGAACGTGACATCATTAAATTTATTTTTCTTTTTTGCCTATCGTGTAATAAAAATCATTTCGGGGTTTCGAATTTTCTTTTTGTATTATCGCCTCCCCCCCAAATAATATCGTATAAAAACTATGAAAACGTGATATCGAAAAAAAATTTTAAGTGGTATTTATTATTATTATTATCGGATATTTATGTTTGCCGATACTTTTTTTTTTTTATAGGAAAAACGAGAGAAAAGGTTAAAAGGTCAAATTTTTATTTATTTATTTATTTTTTTATATAAATTCTTAAATATATAAAATAAAAAAATAAAGTGTTGTGACGGTAAAAAAAAATTTTCTTTTTTTTTAGGTTAAATTTAAAAAGTAGTTTATTATTATTATTATCATTATCGAAATAAGAATTGAACAACGTTTAAACAAACATTTTTTTTTCAATGAATTTTTTTTGTATATTTAGAACGATTGTTTTAAAAAAAAAAAAATTTTCGATTTCCAAAATAAAAAAGAAAAAACAATAATAAAAATAAATACATAATGAATAATACAAAATTTTCAAATTTAAAACAATTTTCATTCGTTCGTTCGTTTGTTTGTTTGTTTGTTTATTTTTATTTTTTTTATTAACAAACAAAAATAAAGTTGTTTAAACTTTACGAAAAAAAAAAAAATTATTGATTGTTTAAATTCGTTTAGATTTTTCCTTTTTTTTTTTTTTTCTTCTACGAATTTCTGGGGAAAATATAAAAATAAAATAAATTATAAAAATAAACAAAAATAAATAAATAAAAAATTATTTACCGCAGAAGAGAGAGAGAGAGAAAACAACATAATCCTCCACCGAGTATTATTATTATTATTATAATTAATTTATTTTGTTTAAAGTAAAAAATTTAGCAAAAAAAATTATTTTTTTCCCCCATTTATTTATTTTTTAATGCTCTTATTATTAACATTATCACTCACGTATATATATATATATATATATATATATATATATATTGAATATGTAGGGGGGGCAGGGGGGAAAGAAAGTAATTTTTCAACGTTATCAATTATTTTTAAATACTCTTATCAACGACTCAGTGACGTAAGCAATACATATAACTTATATAAATTTTCACGTAAATACGATTTTCTTTCGCTTTATATCATTATCTAATTGTAAATTTTATCGGTGTCTCAATAATGATTTCTTCGAAATTTTATACCGGTAGAAAAGCAAACGATGATGATGATGATAATGTAAGTAATTCGGAAAATCGTTACGTCGAAGGTTTCAAATTTCAATATTGTTGAGTCAACAAAACGTATGATTTAAAAAAAAAAAAATTTTCCACAACCAAAAAGCGGAAAAGGTTTGAAATAAGCGCCTCCAAGCGGAAATAAATCGAAACATTTTCACTTACGATATAACCCGCGCCATTATTAAATTTATACTTTTATTTCATGATAAAAATAAGCAAAAAAAATAAAAATACGAGGAAAGGCAAGTTTCTTAATAATAATAATAATAATAATAATAATAATAATAAGGAAATGAAAAGAAAAAGAAAAGTAAAACAAATTTCAAGAAGAAAAAAATTATATCGAAAGATATTTTTTGAAAACCTTATTAGAATTAACAGAGTGAACAATATTATATTTAAAATTTTTTAATTATGTGAGAAACTTTAAAAAAAAACCCTCCCCACCCTCCTTCCCTTCCTAAAAAAAGAAAAACTATTACCGTTAAATAAAATTAATTAGTTTTAATAAGATATATTATTTTATTCAACATTTATTATTATTTTCCGTTTTTAAATAAAATAATAAAAAATTTAAATTTTTTTTCATAACCGCATTTAACTTTTAAACAAAAAAACGGAAACAAACAAAAAAAATTTTAAACGGCTCTCTTACAAGCGGTTTTGTTATATTCTCGTTTAGTATTAACCTTTTGACCTTGAAAATTTTCTTCTTGTTTTTCCACCGCATCCATTATCAATATTAAACTCCGTATTTTAAAAAAACTTTTTTTAAATTTTTTGTTGTTGTTGTTGTACTTAATTAAAATTTTTATTATATTATATTATATAATATTATTAAAAATAATAAAGAAATAAATAAATAGGTTGTTGATAACGGTTGTTGATAACGGTTGTTGATAACGGATGTTGATAAGTACCTAATTTCATCGTGGATTTAAAATCTCAACCGAAATTTAGAATTTTTACAAAATCCTTTTCATAAAAAACCGTTAAATTTTTTTTTTTTTTTTGCATAAAAGAGTCGTTGAAATCACAAAACTTATTCATTTATATTAATAATAATAATAATAAGAATAATAATTTTTTTTTGCATGAAAAAACTCATCGTAATAAACAACGATGTTGTTGTAACACAAATGAAATTCAAGAAACATGTGTTAACGTTTAAAAAACAAATAAGTACGAATTTTTAAATGTAAATTTTTCTGTTTTTTTTAAAATAATATTTGTGTCGTCTGCTAGCAGCTGCGGTTACGAAAAAAAATAAATAAATAAAATTAATTAATTTTATTTTATAATAAATATTTATCGTTGCGTTAATAATATTCTTTACATTTTCGTCGTCGTCTTAATGTAATTTTTTTGCCTTTAATAATAATAATAATAATAATAATAATAATAATTAAAATTAATTATTTGTTTTTTTTTTTCCAGTAAAATTTAATTTTTAATAATTTTCCCCTTCCCCCAAAAAGAAAGAAGAATTATTTATTATCGTTATTGTTGTTATTTAAAATAATAATATCAAATTTTAAATAAATAAATAAACAAATTTGAAACCGAATCGTTAATTAAAATAGTAAAAATAATAATAATAATTAAAGAAATAAATATGTATTTAAAAAAAAAAAATTAAAAGGATTTAAAATAATTCAGGTGAGACGTTTGTTTTTTTTTGTATGTAATAAATAAAAGTTTATAATATTAAAAAGAATTTACACACATCTTGAAATAAATAAATAAATAAAATTTATTAAGAGAACGATAAAATGAAAAAACTATTGAAAAGCTCTATCACCAAGGAAACAACATAAATTCTCTTTTTATTTTCGGTTGCATTAAAAAAAAAAATTTTTTTTTATCATGCATTCAAAGTTTATTATTAATAACACACAACGTACTAAACAAATAATTTTTTTTAAATAAATAAATAAATTTAATTTTTTCAACAATTATATCGAACACCATATACTTATATTTTATAATTTATATTTTATATAGAAAAAAAAAAATTTTAAGTATTCTTATACGATAATCGAAAAATGTCGAATTTTTTTTTTATGTATAAAAGTAAATATTTTTTAAGTTAAAATTGATATGGTATATGTGTACTTTTATTATTATTATTATTATTATTATTATTATTATTTACTTTATTTATTTAAATTCGTTTTTGATATTGTAAGTAAATTAATTTTTATATATACATTTCAGATAGCAATTTCGTGTTGGGCAATGCTCAGGTTCCAAGTCTTTATCCGATTGTTTATTGTTCAGACGGTTTCTGCGAGCTTACGGGATTTTCAAGGGCTCAAATCATGCAGAAAAGTTGCGCATGTAAATTTTTATACGGACCGGAAACCAACGATGAAAACAAAGCACAAATCGACAAAGCATTGGAATGTAAAATCGAACTTAAACTCGAAGTTATTTTTTATAAAAAAACCGGTGAGTAATTTTTTTTTTTTTTTTCAAAAAAATTTTATTTGACTTTGTTACGAATCCCTCTCCCTATCTCCCCCCCCCCCCGAAAAAAAGAGAAATGAAAAACGGTTATTGAAATTTTAAATTATGTAATTATAATTATTATTATATTTTCAATTAATAAATTACGTAATTAATAATATCACAATAATTTTTTTTTTCTCTCTCTCTCTATGATGTAACATAAAATTTTTTATTATTTAAATTAATTTCTTATACATTTTAATTAATTAAAATATTTTTATTTAATTATATATATATATTTTTTAATATATTTCAATAATAAAACAACAAATTATCACAATTAATAATAATAATAATATTAATAACATAAAACTTTTTATGTAATCGTATCCGAATACCAAAAAATTTTCCCATCAATAATTTTTTTAAAATTAGAATTTATCATTTGTTATTAATTATATTAAAATCATCATCATTATTATTATTATTATTAATAATTATTACTTATGTATCGAATTTTTAATAAAAAAATTTTTTTCAATAAACCTTTTCATAATGTCGACAGCCACAGTGTAATTTTTTTGTTTTTTTTTACTCGTATTTTTATTATTTTTAAAATTTTTTCCCCTAAAATTATCATTATTATTATTATTATTACTATTGTTGTCTTTTAATTGAGGCATTTTATTTTGTCATCACCAAAATCGAATCGATATTAATTACAGAAAAAAAATGAAAAGTATTTTTCCAAACGACTAAAAAATAAGTTTACGTATCGATAAATAAACGGGGCAAGCGAAAATGCACTTTAAATACCCGGAAAAATAAAATGAAGCTCTCTGATTGGTTAATTTTTTTTTTTTCGTTTTTTAATTTTTCCGAATGAAACCGATCGTTACCGAAATCGAATTAATTACGTAAGACAAACAGTCGTTAATAGTAGTATATTATTAATGTTTTTTTTAAAGGTTAATGACCTTTTTTTTCTGAATACAATCGATTTAAAATAAACAAATGATAATTATTATTCGTAAGTTATTATTAACCCAAAAATTTTCCTTTTTATACGCACGTCGGAAAAAAATTTATTATTATTATTATTATTGTTATTATTTAATAATTAAATTAGTAAATAAATAATTTTTTTTTTCCTCGTTAATATAATAATATTATTATTATGAAATGGCAAAGCGAAACGGAATAAATAATCGAAAGTTAATGGAAATTTATGAATAAATAAATAAATAAATATGAACATTTTTTTAAACGCGTTTCTATGTAATATTGCTTTTATATCAGTTTAAAATAATAATAATAATAATAATAATAATAATAATAATAAGAATAATAATTGTCATTTTATATAAAGAAAAAATTTTTTTTTTTTAAAACGTTAAATTATAATTTAAGTTACGGGAAAAATGTAAATGTCACCGTGTCACGTAAAAAAAAAAAAAAAAAAAAAAAAAATTTCAAAATGAAGAAAAATGAAAAATATTTTTACTAAATAAAAATGAAAAGTTAAATTTTTTACTATAATGAATAATAATAATAATAATTTAAAATTTTGAAAATTGATTTCGAAAACGGTAAAAAATTGTTAAATTTACGCTTGAATGACGATTTTTTTTACCCAAATTGAAAAATTTTTTAACGGTAAAATGATGGAATTCGTAAACGTGTTTACTCCTCCCCCTCCCCTCCTCATTCTCTCTCCTCCCACGTTTTCAAAAAAAAGAATATTTTCTATTAAAATTCGATTCTCATTTTAAAACTAAAATTTTTTTTTTTTGGGATTTTAAAATAATTAATTTTATTAACGAAATAATTTATTATTATTCTTATTATTATTAAACATTTTAAAATATATTTTAAACAAATTATCATAATCGAAAAAAAAAATAATAATAATGATAATAATCCATATATAG